CAGAGGAACGAGGCGGGAGGAAACCGAAGCCGCTGAGCCAGAGAGCAGGACAGGCTTCGGTTGCTTCCTCCCTCCCCTTCTTTCATTTGTGTCCTTGATCCCCGATCCCAGCAGCATTCACCGAAGGCGAAGAAAGCCGCCATTTTTTTAAAAAAAAAAATTCTTTGTGGCCCGGTACAGAGTGCTCCACGACCCGGTACCGGTCCGCGGCCCGGTGGTTGAGGACCCCTGCTTTAAAGGAAACACAATGTTTGGCCAAGAGAGCTACGGAGTTAATTTTAGAGTAAATGTTGGAGGATAATTTATAGCTCTTGTTCTTCCCACACATTTTTCTTCTGCTTTAATTTTCCATCTCCTCCTGTGGATATAAAACATTTTAAGTGGGTTATAGTTCAGTTTTGCATGTGCATAGAGGCATTTCAGACACACTCCCTTCTTCCCGGGGTCAGTGAATATTCTGGAATGGCATTCTATGAAGCTTAAAAAGTACTAGAGCAAAAGAAATTCTTCATTTACCCAGACTTTCCCATTATACATTTAGAGGTTTTTTTCTGCTTTCATGCAGAAATGAATGGGTTTTATTCATTCATTGTGCAGGTTTACTTAAACATGTCTCACGTATTTAGAGACAAAGCAATTGTAAATTCTTTGTTTTCAGAGAAGCACAAAATGATCACTATAATGAGACCAGCAGTATGGATGGAAACTCGAGGGATTCAGATATCTTCCTGCCACCAGTAAAAAAGGTACGAATATTATAAAGATTTATCCTATTTTAATAATGCAAATCTTGTTTCTTGTGCTAGGTTTTACAGAGCCCTGATTATGTCGTCTTTTGTAGGCAAAGCTGCAAGAATCTATTGAATATGAAGATTTAGAACACAACAACAGCATTAAAACTATTGCACTAAATCTAAAAAAATCAGATAGGTATGTTGTGTTCATTGTTATGTTATTTTTAATAAAATATTATTTGCAAAATTTGTTGTGTTTGTTGGTGTCTTGAGCATCTCAAAGGAAACAGTGACAAGAAAACCATATTTTTATCTTATAATTGCTACCCTTAAAATAATAAGATCATGTATTTACATTTATAATTTAACAAACAAAATAGGATGTAAAAGAGTCATGATAATGTTACACTAAATATTGTTTGTGAAAATTGATATAACCTTTGATAGCTTGCAGTGGAGGAAACACATAAGAAAAAAGAAATATGTAAAAAATCTTCTTGCCTATATAAAAATGGGCAGTATATCCCACTAAAAACAGGATTGACATCTGAGTAATTTTCATGATAAAAGTTTGATATAACCTTTGATACCTTGCAGTGGAGGAGCCAATTTCTTACGTGTATTTATCTATTTGTGTATCAGAAGAAGAATGGAAATTAAATACAGCATACTATTATCGATTGCAATGATCCTTCAGAAAAGGTTTCCATAATTTTGAGCCAGGTTAAAGTGGTATTAGAACTCACAATCTCTTGGTTGCCCTCATTTTACGATCTTTCTTGCCACAGTTATTAAGTGAATTATTAAGTTGTTAAGTTAGTAACATGGTTGTTAACACGGTTGCTTCCCCATTGAGTTTGATTGTCAGAAGGTCGTAAAAGGTGATCACATGACCCTGAGACACTGCAACTGTCATAAATATGAGTCAGTTCCCAAGCATCTGAATTTTTATCATATGACCATGAAGATGCTGCAACAGTCATGAGTGTGAAAAACAATTATGAGTCACTTCTTTTCAGTGCCATTGTAAATTTCGAACAATCACTAAATGGAGTCTTGTAAGTTGAGGACTACCTGTACTACATTGTCTGTATAAAGATGAATTTAAGGAGATAATTTTCTCTACCAATTTAGTGAAGACAGGTGAAAATCCAAGTTCTAAGCAGCCCATTAGGGGATTTATGATAGATGTTTCATCATTATCAGTGCAGTTTTGCTACCCTGTCTGAGTTGAGACACAAATGACCTGCATCACATTTTCAAGAAACTACCATCATGCAGGGTATGAGAGAGAGGAAGATTGAAGAGGCTTCCATTTTTCCCCATAAATTGGCTTGAGAGGTGGAATCTATCAGTACTGTATACAGAAACCCTGCAGAAGTAAACTATTTCTCAATGCTAAAGCACTAGGAACCAGTCAACAATGAATTGACCCTCTGTGAGCCAGGCAATCATGAACTAATATATCCATAGTTTTCTGAATCATCTGTCCCATTTTTAGGGTACTAAAGTTTTAAAAAATAAACTGAAAAAACTGAAAATTACTTTCATATTTCCAGAATGTTAATTATAAAATATTTTCTATTCAACAGGTATTACCATGGTCCAACACCAATTCAGTCACAGCAATATGCAACGAGCCATGATATTATTAATTCTTTCTGTAGTATTAGAGAAGAAATGGAAGGCTATGTACCCAAATTAACTCAGGTAGGATAAATGTTCCTGCTTTTAAAAGAAAAGTACTCAAAATGGAGTATCTAGCATCCTTAGGGTATTCTTCAATGGCCTATTCTTTGGCAGATAGGGTATTGCTTTGAAGCTGCTTATTTATATACATGACTGGAGGGAATGGAATAGTTTCAGAATTATTTTCAACAAGCATGGTATACTTGGCTTGCAAACTAGAGGAACTGTTACTGTTGAGATTTCTGTAGTTACATGTATAACCTATTTTTACTTATTTATTTACTCACCATTAGTGCACATATTTTATTGATAACAGTCTAAGTTTCACTACAGAAAGCCAGCTTGGTCTAGTGGTTAAGGCACCAGGCTAGGTTCTGATATCAGACTGATTATTTTTTGCCTTTAATTTGATGGATTTTAGCTGTGCCTTATGTTTTAATTGATTATATTGAAAAATAACTTGGCAATAATTAAGAGATGAGGTATTCTAACTCTAGCATATATAGGTACAAAAAATGCTGTCACTTTAGTGGTATAATAGCGATTACAGCTAAGTCCTTATGATTCAAGCTCCATTGTCAACCTTTTTGGTTTTGCTGTACTACAAAACTAACTGGGGGAAAAATTATCCTTCCAGGTTCTCTCAAGTGGTGCTGCCAGTAGTACTATCACAGCCCTGTCACCTGGAGGAGCACTTATGCAGGGTGGAACACAGCAAGCCATAAATCGTAAGAACTTGATGTTTTGGCTTATTTGGCTCCCTTCCTCTCTGTGTACCCTGTAGAATCAGTTTGCAAAATCAACTTGGATGGTCATGTCAGTGCAGTTGATAAATCAGCCTCTTCAAGCAAGGTTGGGAAAATATGCATAACTGGACTTCTGAAATGTGTTTCCAACTTCTTAAAAGTAGCTCCACTCTCAGAGTGATGAACAGAATACCAAATTTGTTAAAGTGGTATCTTTAAACATTTTCTTGGGTTGGAAAGAGTAAAATAAGAATTAAAATGCATCGTTATACAGTCTAACATTAGTCTAAGTGTTGACAGAATTTAAAACAATTTGTTATCCCTCCAGTTTCTCATCTGCAGCACTAAGAGCAAATTCAAATTTTCAAGCATTCCTTATCACATAATCTTCCATACTTACTTCAGCATACCCAAAATGATTTCAGAGCCACTTCATGACTAGTTTCTCTTCATATGGCATATAACCAATCAAGATGTTCACAATATGGACTTAAATCCAACAATTTTTTTTCTGCTCACGGAAAGGTCCCCTCTAGGTGATGGGGTTGGTGGGGGGTTTTGCCCAGTCCTTTCTTTGTCTTGCAATTCTTGCTATGTATCCCACAGAGTAGATTTGAGAGTAACTGGTGGTCACCTTCTTTCCCTTTCGTCCATTGGAAACCATTTGCTTGAATCAAAAGCTTTTGTAACCTGAAAGAATCTCAGTGTCTATGGAACAAAGATCTTACCGTATATACTCGAGTATAAGCCGAGTTTTTCAGCCCATTTTTTGTGCTGAACCCCCCCCCCCTCGGCTTATACTCGAGTCAGATTCCACTCTGGAAAAAAAATGATGTGGAGCTCCGGAGCTGGGCAGCCGCTTCCCTGCTTCCGTGTTTCCTTTGCAACTTTTAAGCATGGGGGTAATCAGAAGCAGAAAAGTTCTTGCATGAGGATATATTTTTTCTTTTTTTAACTGTTTTTAGGGGGGGGAAAGACCCACCGCCATGTGAGAATGCTCAGACACGAAATCTATCCGCCCAAAAATAAGTGTGTGTGTGGGGGGATTTTAACAGAGGGAAGATGTAGGGAGAAGGCAAAAGCGACGGAAGATCCTTCAGGGGAAACTGAGGGGGAGACTCACCCTTGGTCCAGATGAGCCCCCTTCCCCGCCCCTAAGGAAGCAGAGGCAGCCAGCAAGGGCAGGCAAGCCCCACTTCACGGACTCCGTCCGTCCTCGCACCCACCCACCCACTCAAAGCCACGAAGTCCCCCAATCGCACAGCCCAGAATCGCCCTCCCCTCAGGGGGCAGCAAGGACGCCCGTTGTTTCCCGAGACAAGAAGCTCCACTGTGCAATGAAAGCGCCCTGGCTCTAGGCTCGCGGGCTCAGAAAACAACGCGAGCCGAGGTCGCTTCGGCTCCGCTCAGCTTCGTTTCCTCAGCCCCAGCTGCTTTCAGTCCGCTCGGGAGGAGGGGGAGGAGGTGGTGGCGGCGGCTCGCGTTGTTTTCTGAGCTCTAGGCTCAGGAAACAACGCGAGCCGAGGTCGCTTCGGCTCCGCTCAGCTTCGTTTCCTCAGCCCCAGCTGCTTTCAGTCCGCTCCGGAGGAGGGGGGGGAGGTGGTGGCGGCGGCTCGCGTTGCAACGTCGGCTCCCGGTGTTTTCTGAGCCCGCGAGCCTAGAGCCAGGGTGCTTTCATTGCACGGCAGAGCTTCTTGTCTCGGGAAACACTGGGTGTCGTTGCTGCCCCGAGGGGAGGGCGATTCTGGGCTGCGCAATTGGGGGGACTTCGTGGCTTTGGGTGGGTGGGTGGGTGGGAGCCAGGACGTTGACTTTAAGCGCTGCCGACCAAGTGTTTCACAAATACCAGTGGGACCTCCGTCCACCACCACCCCTCCTTCTTTTGCCTCCTTCCTTCTGATCAATCAGGTTTTCCCAGTATTTGCTCACAGCTGCGTGCTAGGCATTGAACGCGGGGATTTCTGATTCCCCTTACACGCTCGTGGATATGCCGCGGGGCGTTTCCTTCCAAACGCCCCACGGGCAGAGAACACTGACTTTCATGATAGTGAGATCATTTCCCAAATTAATTGATTCACTAACCCAAAAGAAGAAGATGTTGATGACAGTGGGAGGCAGGGGTCACTCTCCCTTGCACGAAAAAAGCAAGAGCCGTTCTTATGATCTCTCTCTCTCCCCGTAATACAGTCAAGCCCTTTCCAGCATGCGCGATCCGCCCACGTCGCTTTGCACCTTGCAAATGCAAAAACCCCGGGATTTTGCATTTGCAAGGTACAAAGCTGCGGCGGCAGATCACGCGTGCTGGAAAGGGCTTGACTGTATTACGGGGAGAGAGAGAGAGAGAGATCATAAGAACGGCTCTTGCTTTTTTCTTGCAAGGGAGAGAGTGACTCCTGCCTCCCACTGTCATCATCATCTTCTT